CAGGTATTGATGGCGTTGAATGTGTGATAGATGACATCATCGTTACGGCATCGACAGATGAGGAGAACTTCCGACGACTGGAAGAGGTTTTCTCGAGACTCGACCGTCAGGACATTCGCTTAAATGCGGACAAATGTGTCTTCTTCGAGGAGTGTGTCACCTACTGCGGATTTAAGTTAAAGCACCAACAGATCTTCAAGTGCGAAGATGAGCTGGAAGCCATCAAGAAAGCCCCATCGCCGAAAAACGTGCCAGAAGTCAAGTCGTTTCTTGGCATGATAGAATTCTATGCGACTTTCGCTCCAAAGCTCGCGGATCTCGCCCATCCGCTCTACGCACTGCTCAAAGAAGCAGTCAAATTCGAATGGACGAAAGAAGCTCAGAGAGCTTTCCAGAGGGTTAAAGCGAAGCTCTGCTCACCGAATGTGCTTGTACCATTTAATCCAAGCAAACCATTGCTGTTGAGCACAGATGCGAGCCCTTAAGGGAATCTCGGCAGTTCTTTCTCATCGGTACTCAGACGGGAGTGAACGACCCATAGCCTATTATTCTGGGACACTCTCTGTCACGGAACGGAAGTATTCACAGATCGACAAGGAGGCACTGGGAATCCGCAGCGGAGTAGAAAAGTTTTTCTACTATCTGTTTGGACGCCGGTTTACTCTCATAACTGACTCCAAACCGCTCGTTCAGATATTCGCCCCCACAACCGCTCTCCCACCATTGTCGGCTCCTAGAATGCAGCACTACTCGATATATCTCATGAGTTTCAATTTCGACATCATCTAACGCTCAACTCATCAACATGGAAATGCGGACGCATTGTCAAGATTGCCGGTACGAAGCGAGGAATTGAACCAAATGGACTCAGCTGACATCGCAATGATACATCTCGTGAACGAGCTTCCGTTGAAGCTGAACGACATCGCTGAAGGAACTCGTAAATCAGAGGAGCTACGCCCGCTGCTAGATGTTCTGAGAGGATCTTCGAGATATGACCGGAACAAACTGTTCGGTATCCAACTGTGTGAATTCAGCCTTCATGATGAAGCGGTTATATTTCGCGGACACAGAGTCGTGATTCCCGAATCCTGCAGAAAACGAATACTGGCAGAACTTCACGACGGACATTATGGAGTACAGAAGATGAAGTCGCTCGCAAGACAACATGTTTGGTGGCCGAGTATAGACAGAGATATCCACGCGCTCGCGTTGCAGTGCAAGCCCTGTCTAACTCATGCTCGATCTCCACCAAGAAACGTCATTCATCATTGGGAACCAACCTCCCGATGTTTCCAACGAATTCATCTAGATTATTGTGGTCCGCTGAATGGGAACTACGTTTTGCTGCTCGTAGACGCGCACTCAAAATGCTTAGAAGCGTTCCTCACTCGCAACAAAACTACAACAACGACTTTGCATCATCTTCGAGAGTCGGTGGCTAGATTCGGTATCCCGTCAGTGATAGTAACTGATAATGATCCGACCTTCGTCTCTCGTGAAATGCAGTCGTTCTGTGCAGTGAACGGCATCACCCACAAAACGAGCCGACCGTTCCATCCGGCTTCAAATGGCCAAGTTGAGTGATATGTTGCCACTTTGAAGCAAGCTTTGAAGAAGCTATCGATGGAAGGAGGCAACCTCCAAGAGAATTTATCGAGGTTCTTGTTCAGACAACATATTGTTCTTAGTTCGACTGGACAATCGCCTGCGATGAAGATGCTTGGCAGGGAGCTTCGCTCGAAGCTCGATATGCTCAAAGAAAATCCCATCTCAGAAAACATGGAAAGTTTCAAGACGAAGAAGCTCAAATTCCGAGAAGACGAAATCGTCATGGTGAGGGACTACAGAAGCAGAAGACCTACTTGGCTCATCGGAAGAGTCAAAAAGTTACTTGGCAAAACAACTGCCATCGTTCAAGTCCCGCATACTACGTGGAAGCGACACTTCAATCAACTACGGAGGTGCTCGCAGTCGTGGCCCTCAGAGCCCGTGCAAAGAGAAAGCGGCCTCACATCATTGCTTTTGTCTATCGAGCAAGACGAGGTTCTGACTCAAACGGCGAGTTCGAGGCAGACGACTGCATCTGACAAGCCATGCCTCATGTCTAGTGAAGACGAGGACAACAGTTTCCACAGTGCGTCAAGTGACGATCATCCAGAGGGACAATCCAGCAGGACGAAAACTGTGTTACCGATCGAAGAAACACGCGAAAGCGAAAGAAACATGGCAATCCGATTATCACAGGATAATGCGATAATGACGGATGCGAATCAGCAAGCCGAACCGCCAGCGAGACCTCTGATTAGAAAATCGGCGAGAAGCACTCGGGGAAAACCTCCCGCTCGTTTAGGTTGTGACTGAACTTTCGAAATTTTACGTTCTTACTGGTCAGAGATTGTAATGTAATTTAAATAATTAAGGAATCAAATCATGCGGGGGGGAAGTTGTTGTGTTGAACATTTGAAAAGCGCGCTTTCCAGAAACAGCGTCAACGAGCTGTCACTCAATAAATGATCGATCATTCCCGTTCGGACGGTCTTCAAAGGAACAGCGTGTCGTCATTGAAACTAGGTGTGAACCGTAACAATTACCATCACGTGTGTCGACGGAAATTCATTTGCGAAGTGTCCGGAACTCTCACTGTGAAAAGCGAGGCATTCACCCATATTTTCAAATTCTTCGGAACCTTCGAAGGAAGCTACATGGAAGGAGTTCTCAAGGAAACTCACGGGGTGAACTGCTCGTCCTTGTATGCGACATGTGAGGAGTCACCTCTCGAGAGAACGTTCCCCTTCCTTTCTTGAGCGACTGATGCGAATAAAGAGACGACGAAGCCTTCGAAATTTAACCATTATCCTGAGGCACAGAACAATGCAACGTTTTTTTTCTTCCGCCAAGATGGGTCAGGGAATGATGCATCTTCCTCGACTTTTCCAGATTTGCGGAAAGGTTCGCTGACGCGCACCAGAGTGTTTAATCGACTCATCGTTCCTAGTCTCTAGTCAATCGAACACTGTTTACTTATCGAAGTGATTGGTAGATCGACTCAAAGCGCGCTCTGAGAGGCGTCATTTCCTCACGTCGCCGGGGAACGCACGAGAACTCGGCGAAGAGCGCCCGGGGTCCGTGTATTAACGCAGTTGCTTGAACAAGCTCGGATGGAGGGATCTCAGGTGCGAGTAGACTAGATAGCTCATTTGTGAGAACTAGAAACGATGTCCGAGACCCGCGGGGCTGTTCGGAGGATGAGCTCGATTCCGAGACACAGGCTCCGACTGTTGACGATTCCGATGACGATGATTGCGTCGATGACGAACCTGGCGAGAGATCTTCCGAGCAAACCTCGAGGTGGTTGAATGAGCGAACCGAGGTCTCCTTCCAGAAAGCACGAGATGCGGCCGCCTTCTATAGATCGACGAAGAAGGGAACGCGGTCTCTGTCCTGCATGATGAAGAATTTCTTCCGCTTCATCAGAAGCCTCACCGACCTCAAGAAAGTTCTCGCCTTGAATGATCGCCTTGAAAACAATACATTGAAACGAATCGATCTCATGGGTATCTTGCGAAAGAGATAATGGGGAAAATGGATTCTGGCATCACGATGCATGATCGGGACGTCCAGCGAATGGGTCAAGAATTAGCACGGAAGCTACAGATTCCCAATTTCCGAGTGTGCCTACGGTGGGTCGAACAATTCCGTGAGACTAATGGCATTGTGTCCAGGAAAATCACAAAATTGACCTCGACTCGATCACTGACGAACTTCGATCGGACATCAGAAGAGGCGCATGAATTCGTCTCAAAGATACGAGACCTGATATTATCACGAGGATTGGACGCACACTGTATCGTTAATGCTGACCAATCCGGGTTCTTGAAACAGCTATCTTCCGCTCGTTCTTTGGCTCCCATCGGGGTACCCAATGTCGAACGGCTTGTCTAGACTGTGAGCTCAACGACGCACTCGTATACAGTCTTGCCTCTCCTATTTGCTGACGGTCGTCTGGCCCCAAAGTTGTTCGTCGTGCTCTCGGAGCCCAACGGTCGGTTTCCGTAGAGTTTTCGAATGACTCCCGTAGGGCCGAAAACGCGAAGGGCCGAAAACGCGAAGGGCCGAAATCCTGTCGGGCCGAAAAATCGGATAGTCGAACGCTCATGGGGCCGAAAACCCGTAGGGCCGAAAATTTTCCCCCTCTTTTCTCAGCTTGTTGCCTGCGGAGTAAGCTTCTATGTCCAGAGTGGGAGTTGTCATAGGGAAAATTACAGCGAGGACATAAGGTTATTCCCAAGGCCATTTTGGGAAATAATTTCTCCACTTACGATTTCAATTATCACGGTTACGATTTTCGATTGTTCGCACGAAAAGCTGATCATCGTCTCAGCCATGCATCATCACGAGACGGCTCGGCAAGATCGTGGATGATAGAAGAAGAATATTCGTATCGAAGAGTTCTTGTATTCTTTCAATAAGCGAGCTCTATACTCCATAGGCTCCGATCATGTGCTATAGCCTCTGACGGCTGAATGCTGGCCTCAAAATGTGATTTCCCAGCTTAATTCTATCAGAGTTCGCTTGTCGCTACAGCCTTTTCAGCTCAATTGCAGAGTCTTCGTCGACCAGCGTCGGATTTCTTCAGATATCGATACCCAAGTATT